TCAGCTGGCTTTCAAGTAGACAGTTATTCAAAACTTACCATTGCAATAGTTGGCTTCTGTTCTGCAGTTTGAATTGTGAAGCCATAGTGTTGCCTGTCAAAACACACTCTGCTTATGTTTAGTAGCACTAAGACTCCAGTCAGTTTTTCAAGGAAGTTTATTAATGAGTGGATGTCTGTCTTTTCTTGTATGGCTGGCAGAAAAGAGTGTTGTGTCCATGCACTGCAACTTGAGTGAAGGTACCTGCTAAGTTTTAGGCATTTGACTAAAATCTTGCATTGTGCACTTGTACACAGGTGCCTTAGAAATGCTTCCTTTAACAAGTTACAGTCATATCCCTATGTGTTCCTTCTCTGATCTCATCCAAGCTACAAATGTGTAAATCTTGTTATTAACCATCCAGCATGGTCTAGCAATTTTTAAACTTAATCTGAGTGGTCTAAAATTGGTACCTACTTATCAGCACCAGTCAATTCAACAGCTGATACTAAAGGCATTAGGCTTAAGTATTTCCTATTGCAATGTGATACCACTACACAGCCTGAGCACTGACCTCAGTCTTAAGTGGTTTCTGCTGGATAAGGATGAGACATTTTGATGGAAAGCAGCTTGAGGCAAAAGTTTGTGCTACTAATGCTTATGCTGTTCCTGTTTAAAGAGACAGAGGGCTAGAATTCCAAGGCTATCAGCCGGTCACCTTTCTGTAGTACTACATTCATTGTTCAGTGAAAGGAAAGTCGTAGCACAATAGACATGTTTTATTCTTCCTTTGTTTTAGAACTATTATATTGGTTGGGTTTTTTTTTTTTTTATCCCCAAAGAAGCTGTAGGAGGTAGATGGTAAATTGAGCAGTTAAATGCCTAAGTTGATTAAATAATCTCAACTGCTTTGTGTTCTGTCTAGCTCTTGCAGAATTCCTGCACCATGAGATGTCTTTAGACTTTTGTTTGAATACTGCCAAATTGCTGCTGGAGCATGGAAGGTATGAAAACATCACTAAGCGGGGTGAACACAATGTTTGGGCTTTATAGGTGTTCTTTTATAAGCAGAGAACATATATTATACAATGATGCTTTATTTTAAATAAAAACTCACAGAGGTAGGTAAACAGTTTTGAGAGGGAGCCTGTCTTTTCTATAGCAAGGTGATACAGATTATGGCAGCAGCAGAACAGGGTGTGAAATAACAGTGAGTGGCAATTTGCAATGCTGTACTCCTACTGTGGAATGTTTAATATTCTCCCTATGTAGTTTTAATGTATATCTGGAATAATATATATATGAGTATGGAATTACCTGACTGAAATCTGTCTTCCATATTAACTAACCAACCCTCAGAATGAAAGAGGTTGGAGTCTAGAATCATTCTTATGAAAAGCAGTAAAAGGATGAACAAGTTACTGCAGAATAAATTGAGGCATGAAATTTCACACTGTTGAATGCTCCATCATGATTACCTATGTATATGCTTCTATCTTGCAGTAAATTCTTACTCTTTCATTGTGAGGAGTAAACTCTCTTGTGAATACCGTGGAACAAGCATGTGCTAATAGGAAGTTACTACTGAATAGAAGAATTGCAGTAATTCATACCTTGACTCACTCTGTCAGTGTGATTGTGTGCTAGTAGTATTAATGAGAAACATGCTGTACAGTATGAATATGTTATTCTTTAGAATGGAAAATTATCAGCTCTTCTTGTGCAGCCTCTTAAAAATGCATCTGTGTGAATAGGGAATCAGTTGGTTTTGATTTTCTGAAATCTGTTTCTGAACGATTTGAATCTTCGCCTGACCTTGGAAGAATTACCCTGCTCCACATCGAGTGTCTATTGCAGAATAAGAGGGAGCTGCTTGCTAAGCAAAAGGTTGAAGAAGTTATTATAGGTCTGTATCTATCTTTTGCTGCTGTTTACTGAAAGCTGGATTTAGTTGGCTAAAGTCTTGAATTCTGATTTTCACTTTTTTGCTTCTTCTCATCTTTCTTTGTGTCTGGTTTTCCTTATGTTTCTTTTGCATGGCAACTCTCAACTTTCATAATGAATGACAGTCGTGGTAAAGCTCAGGGTTAAATTCACTTGCTAGAACAATTCCTCCTTCTTAGTGTATACTGTGTGTGACTGATACATGTGGGATTAGAAACATTTATCAGAAGTTCTGTGTAATGTTAATACTTTGTCCATCAAGCCCAATGTGGTTTTGTTTGTCAGTACTAAAAGAGGTTGCATATCCTTGTTAGAGCAGCTGAATAACAGTTTCTTTTCCATGTCTGTTGCACCTGTAGCACTGTAGTATTTTTTGACTGTGAGATCTGCTCGAAATCAGACCTTATTTTATGTAGCATTGAGCTAGGTGCAAGAGCCACATTTACATTTTTCAAGTGTGAAAATATTTATTCTCTTACCGGCTGTTTGGGGGGGGGGTTGGTTGTTTGTTTGTTATGGTTGGTTTTTTTTCCCCTCCCCAGAAGCAGGATAAGAAACACTGGCTCCTGGTTGATACTATTGCTGTGTCAGTGGTTTTTTGTTGTAGGCTATGGGACAGTCTTTCTCACATAGTTCTTAGGTGCGTGTCAGTGTGCTTCTTAAACTTCTTGTAAAGTGATGATTTGCAGTATCTTTTCAGGTCATTATACTGGGAAACAGCTGTTGCCTGAAGCCTTGAACCAGCTGCACATCATCTTGTGGGACAGAGCTGCCAAACATTATGAGGTTTGGGACCAAACAGTAGTGTTGTTATTTGTATCAGTGAAAATGAAGATCTGCTTTTTCTGACCTCTTTGGTATGTCTATTTTTGGTTAGAGTGCAAGCTGTTACTAAGATCCCTATTCCAGTTGGCACTATTTTTATTTTCATCCAGCTGGGTGCTGGTTTCCATTACAACATCAAGTTTCAGGTAGCTTCATCTCAAGGTTTGTACGTGGGAACAGTTATGGCCAGAATTGATCGGCCAAGGAACCTGTGCAGCCCATCATTCTGGTTCTATCCTGGGAAGGGTACAAAAACCTAAAAATATTCTTTACATTGAACTGTTTATTTTACAATTCCTGCATTCTGACAGTCAGTTGTTGCTTTAAGGAGTATGAAGCGGTGTTATTTGTACATTGATTTTCTTTTCAGCTTATAAAGTGTCTTTGGATGCTTACATTCTGTCTTAGTTCATACACATTCTGTCTTAGTTCATACACATTCGTATTATGAGTATATATAAGTTCTGTTATTCACAACCAGTTACATTCTTATTCTTTCAGTATTTGGAACAGATGAGCTCATGTTCTACTCTTGTATTTGTCATACACTCATTTCTTGAATATATAAAGAAAAATACATGTGCCATTTTGTTACCTTTTATCTGTGTAGTCAAGAAGGAATTTTGCTAATGACACAGCTTCCCTCTTCCTCATTTTAAATTAAATTCTCTCTCCAAATTGGAACTATAGTTCGGAGTACCATCTTCAGCATGGTATCATCAAGGTTCACAGTCTAAGTGGGATAAACACTTTTGTCTTTTTCTCTTCGTTTCAGTTGCTTTGTATCATGAAGAGAGAGTTTTTTTGAAATATTTCTGGTTTGTATTTAGTCATAAGAATGTCCTTTCTGGGTCAGACAAATGACCCCTCTAGTACAGTGTCTTGTCTTTTATAATGGCCATAAGAATAAGGGAAGAGTAGAAATAGGTAAAGCATCAGTTCTCCTAATGAGTATTACCCATGTTGTGGGACCAGTGATTGCTCTTCTGGGAGAAAGGTTGCACTAGAATATACTTGATTTTCTAAATCTTTCATTTTCTATGACCTTTTTTTTTTTAAATTTGAGAAAACATAGGCGGTTTAATCACCCAAGTAAGGGTGTGTTTGGGGTTTGTGTTTGTTTTTTTTTTTCTTTTTTATTTTCTAGGCAAAAAGCTATTCTGAAGCTCTTCACTGGTACAATTATTCTGTCAGCTTCTACACACCTGGGCAGATAGATCAGAACTTGGCTAAGCTGCAGAGGAACATGGCTTCTTGCTATCTTCATCTGAAACAAGTTGACAAGGTATATATAATATATATACACACACACACACATTTATTATTTATTTATTTACATTGTTTTTATTTTTGTGGCTATGTCATTGGGACTTAATTTACATCTTTGTTATTGTACCTCTTCTGCTTTGAGAGGGGGAACTGTCTTTGCTTATCTTGCATCATCTGGCAGAGAGATGTTGTGCATCATCTTAGCTGCTATGGGGGCCTCTTGTATCACCTATCATACTCATGGGGGAAAGTCCACAGGTTGTGTGACCATGCCTCAGTATATCAGGTTTCTTCTCAGATGAGAGGTCCTCCTCTCTTCAAGACAGATGAGCCCTGGCAGGAAAAATGTTTGATGTGTCTCACTAGAACGTCCCACAACAGTGTGTTAGCCCTCACCTCTGCAGAGAAGTGCACCTGCTTTACCTATCTAGGCCTTCTGGTGTGGGGGTGTTAAACTTCCCAGTTCAAAGTGACAGAAGGGAGTTTAATTTTTCAGCAATCTCAGGGCTTCTCTTGCTTTCTGATTCTGTAGCTTTAATTTTGAGGAATTGGCTTTTTCCTCAGTCTGGTCATTGTCAGTCTTTGGTGCCATCTTCTGTTCTTGTCACCTTACTTTTCTTTCCAGGGAAGATGTTGCCAAACCAAACTTCCTGAGTACTTATATAAATATCAACAATGTAACTATTAACATTTTGTGTATCTTTTTAGCTCTCTTCTATTGCAAATTATATTACTGATTTCAAGATGTCATTGTACTGATTTCCTTTAATCTCTTTTGTGAATAGGCTAAAGAGGCAGTTAAAGAAGCAGAGAGGTGTGATCCAAACAGCATCTTTACTAAATTCAGTGTCTATAAGATTGCAGTGATGGAGAAAGATACTGATAAAGGTAGAACTTGAAAGATAAAGGGTCCACTATGAGGAGCAGAAGTGCCAAATATATTAGAAAATACTAGGCAGATTTGGAGTGTTCATCTTGAGAGAGACACGATAGAGGGAAGCTAGAAGAAGGGTCTATAAAGTCAGTGAAACTGTCAGGCTGTAGATTCAAACTGTCAGAGTGGGATGCATTTTGCACACATTTGTAAGATGTGGAGTCCATTGCCATATATGATACTGTCTGGATGGAGCCTCTGGCTAGGAAGTCTCTAATCTTCTCATGGGCGGAAGCTATATATAGTAGCATCCCAGGGTGAGAATCATTGTATAATTACTGTTTCTAATATTCTTTTCTATGCATATACGATATAAAAAAGGATAATGAGCTAAATGAACCTTGATGGAATCATTATTGCTGCTCTTAATTTCTCTGGACAAGTGGAGCCTGAAGTTACCAGAAAATACATGAATTACTGAGATCACTTACAGAATGACGTATCTCTGTAGACTCTTTGTTCTTTATAATGAGTTCTGCCATTTCATATTTTAATGAGAATCTTAGCTCAAGTAATGAAAATTGAGAAATACAGTCTATACTTACTTAGAATACAGAGTAACATGCAGAGCTTATTTTCTGGTGAGTTCTGTGCCAATTAATTGTTCTCTATACATCTTTTCAATGGCCTCATAATTTGTTCACATAATATAGAGTGGGAACCACAGCACAGTGTGAACATAAAAGCAGCAGCACCCTTAGCATAAGCCAAGATGTGGGAGCTTGGAATCACGCCCAGACAACGTATTAGAGAAAGTCTTCTGTCTTTGGTGACAAACAGTTGTTTAGCAGAATAAAATTAAGGATGTGAGATAGAGTTTCATTTGTATGGCATCCTTGTTTCCTTAGATTAGTAGCTTGGAAAGCCTTTTGGCGCTTCTCTAGGAAGAAATGCGTAATTGTGAAGAAGTGCTGGTATGGTCAGGTTTTCTTGTCTTGGTTTTTCATATTAAAAAAAAGTTATAACCTTTCATAAGTCATTTCTAAAACCTCATTAAAACAGTAGAACCTTGCACCTTCCAATTGCTTCTATAAAAAAAATTAATTTTTCCTTATGTATATATATTTCAGCTGTGGAAACAGTTATTGAAATGGGGAAACTAGCAGAAAAGCCATCTCAACATGAAGACAAGCTGAGAGTGGATGAAAATACAGGCACTAACCTCCTGAGTTTAGCTGCCCAAATTGCTTTAGAGGTAGAGCAGATAACATTGTGTTTGCTTTATTGATATAAGTAGGACAGCTGTAACCTCTGTAACCTGGACTACTTTTAGTATTTCTATGTATTTCATGCATTTCTAAGTATTTCATGCTTCTGTGACCAAGGTCTCACTCAAATGTCTTGTGTAATGCAAAGTAGAAATTGATTTAACATAAAAAGAAATTGTATTTTTTAATATTCCTTCAGGAAAATAACGGATTCTGAGTTATAAATGTTGGTATCTGGAAATGACATGGTGTATTTCTGTAAAATTCTCCTTAGCAAAATGTTACGTCTTTTTCTGCCTCTGGGATTTCATCTTTGACATGCTAGGGGGGATCTGTGTACAAAATACATGTAAGTCAACGATGAAAGACTGAAAAGTCACTTGTCCCTCCTATTTGCCTCTTCGTTGGTGACTTGAGTGATGTCTGAACTGGCTGATTACATTAGCATAATCAGAAGAGGCTTTTGGTTGCCTTTTAGGGCTTTGTTCATAGCACTGTAAGGCATGAAAGCCTTGCCAACCTCTACTGATCCCCTTCTTGCCATAGGCTCTTTGTGCATGGAATCGTATGATCTCTCCTTATGGTTTTCTCTTGACACTGAGGCTCTTCTGTGCAGAGTCCTTTGTTCTTTTTCCTGCTAGTAGACTGCGCAGATTTTTGGAATATGCTGTTTCTTTGTTGTTATGGGACTTTTTTTGTGATAACTGAGGTAGTGCAGTTTATACAAAACATGTTTTAATTTCTTTTCAGAATGAACAACAGGTTGTGGCTATCAAAGCTTTGGAGTATTTGTCTGAACATTTACAAGACTGCCGACAATTATTTGCAGCTTTAAAGTGAGAATTCAATATATTTACAAGGAATGAGAAATTTTTCTGGTTTCTTTTTCAAAAATAATTTATTATATTGAGGAAGGTGGAAAACAGTAGATAAAAGATTAGTTAGCAGTCTTTTTGGTGCTGCAGATGTACTTCAAGCCTGAACTTTAATATCTACAGATGTTCCAAGTCTCTCCCAAGCAAATAGTATTAGTTGCTCTGAATTTTATGATTACATTGTGATTTGAACAGATGACCGACAGTGACTCTAATGAGATTGCAACAATATATTCAGTGAAAATACCAGTTCGTTTGTGTCCTCTGATGAAGTGGTGTCTTCTTACTGAAATATTCTGTCATGTTTATAAAAACAAATATTGTAAGACAGATATATTTATTTCAAGATTTGCGTAAAGCCTTTGTTAAAGTACATTTATTTACTTACTATTACATGATTTAACAAAGTGATATACAAAATCAGGTAATAGGGTGGGAAATAGTATAATCTTATTCTCAGTTTGACACTTTGAATTCTTCTATGAATTCCAGGGGCTGATAGCATAAGGAAGAAAAGTGGTATTCTTTCTGGAAAATTAGGGCAAAGTACACCGTTGGAAAAAGATTTCTTGTTTCTTCATTGCTTGTTTTTCTCATATTTAGATGTTTGGTTCGTCTTATGTTGTCAAAGGTCATGGCAGAAGGTGAAGAGGAAAGGTGAGTCCATTTGCAAAAGCATTTTCTTATGGTGGATATGTTGTACAAGTGGTGTAATATTTTCTTGCTGGGTTTATTTTCTTGCAGAGTAATCAAGAGATTAGTTTTTATGCTAGTAAAAAGTCCACCGAGATGACTTCCCAACTTGATCTAATGACTTGACATAGGAACATCTTTTCTACTTGTATAACCTTTCCTTTAAATATTTGCTCTTTGCCTTCCTCTTTTATTAATGCATAAGACTGTCAGGTATTTTTGATGGAGAATGTGAGCTAAGCAACCTCTTAACTTTGACACTAGGATGTGATATCTTTCAGAAGTTCTGAGTGAGCACTTCAGAGTGGGACCTCCCTTGATGAAGACTAGCCATTTTGCAAATGGTGTGTTGGCTTAGAAGTAGGAGAACTGTACTGCTGGATTTTGACTGTCAGGAAAACAGCGTAGTGTGAGCAGGGTTTGAAGTGTAACCTGCAGCCCCAACAACTGAGAAAATCTCCCACTACACTTCTACAACAGTCTTCACTGCTGCAGATCAATAAAACTTTCTTCAGGCCTTCAACTTCTTCTGCATCTTCAAATGCTAGAAGTTGCTAATGACTGAGATGTTTGTCAGGGGAAGAATGATTATATCCTAATTATGGAGATGTTGTATTCCAACATAAATAATATGTTCTAAGAAAGTTAATCAAACATTTTCTAAAACTTATTTTTTCCTCCATTCTAGAGATGAAGATATCAACTCAATGCTGACTTACTTGACCTTGGGTATGCTTTTGTTTTATTTAAATTTTCTGTAGTTCTTCCATCTGTGAAAATTTTATTGTATGATTAGGTCCATACCAACCAAATGTTTAGACTCCTTATTTCAGTCTAGGTTCCCAACTTCCCACTGAAATCAGTGAAAATTAAAACTGTAGGTTCAGCAGTGTTGTGAAGTTGGATCTCAGTGCTACAGGTTTTTGCTATGGAAAGCTTGTAGGCTAGTGTTGGAAAAACTGTTTCTAGTAAAGCCTGTACTTGGGAGCTTCTCTCAGACAAAGGGGCAGTTTCTTCTAGGCAGTTTCCCTTTAATCCTTCATAAGGCCATGCATGCAAACAACAGATATTTGGGTACAAGCCACAGCCTGGGTGGCCTCAAATGGCAGTCTCCTCCTCTGACTGCATTGGCAGGAACAAAGTTAGTATCTTTAGTAGCGGGGCTACCACAAAAGGAAGACATTTGGTTTTGTAAACTGAATTAACAGTGTAACTTTCTACTGGCATTAATTAAATGCCAATGGTGGTCTTTGCTGTTCTAGTTGTTTAAAAGGGAGCATTTTTAAAATTAACTTCATGCTATTTTTTTTCCCCTGGAAGGCTTAGAAAACTGCAAGGTGTAATAGCAAATTGCTGAAAGACAGGAGAGGCTTGTCAAAATTGGTTCCCACTTTTAAGTTGTGCTGTCCTTTGAAAAAGAATTGTCTTGCTTGCATTGGAAAAGGTACAGGAGTTTTACAGAGGACTTTGCTCCATCAGAAGAAATACTTTCACTAAATCTTTTTTACCCCTCTCTTCCTATCTTGGACAAGAAAATTAATGAGATTGTAGAACTTTTTCTACACTAGCCATTCTTACTGGAACTAAGAGAAGAGAATGAAGACTAGAATTAAATTAAATTAAGGTTCCTTGAAGAAAGGCCTCAAACCTGTTACTAAATTTAAAAACCCTCAACTTTTTGTGAAATTAAGTAAAACTCCTCTGCATTAGACTTCGGTGTCAGTGAACTTTGAAGAGGAAGTACTTCTTGGCAGCCTTATGTATCTTATCTAAAATGCTCTTTGAGGCACCTTTTGATGTTTTTTATACGCTTCTCTGGTCAAGCATATTAGATTTAAGTTGTGAGAGTAACTCTTCATCAGGAATTATATGGGAGTTTTGGAAACCTGTTTTGTAGTGTAGTTACTAGACGTGGAAGTGCTTTTATTCTGCTCAGAAGGTGTAACTTATGTATTGAACAACACATTTTCTGCAGCTCACAAGAGACTTGCGGAGTCTTTCACAGAAGAGAAATTTACGGGGGACATGAGGATCCTTGAAGCTCACTGGTTTAGAAAAGTTGGTAGGTTGCACTCTCAAAATCTAAACTGAATCCCCTCCATCTCCACTTAGCCAGACCTTAAGGAAGAAAGAAGCGTTTAAATCTATAAAACTTGTCACCTTTGGCAGTTGCTGCCTTAACTAGTCTTAAAGTTCTCCTGCATTTTCTGTCTTCTGAAACTATCTGGTATGGCTCATGTTTTAAGTCAGTTATCAAGACAAATACTCACACAAGGTCTGTTTGACTGATGGGATAGCATTATTCCCTTCACCGCAGGAATTGTTGTATGTGTCCATGATACAACTCTTCAGAGTTCACCATTTTTCTCGTAGTTAGCCCTTCACTACCAAGACTCTGTTACAGAAGTAAAATTTGAGATCAGGCAAATAGAAAGAATAATGGTTTTCTTCAATGTCTGAAAAAAATATGCTGCTAAAAAACCTTACTGCCGATCCTGAGTATGCATATTCTCATGTAGGCAAAATAAGAATTAGGAAGTTCAGATGAGTGTACTGGTGTGATTGGTGCAGAATGAGCTTACCTCTGCCACCCAGACTGTCTTCATTAGTCCCTTAAATCAGCAGTCCTGCAGTTTGCCTTGAACTACAGTATATGAAATCCAAAGAGCAGACATTATCATAGATAAAGTGTTTCCTAGTGGGAAATGCATCTCCCATGGAGCTGTCTTAAGCACTATCCGTAGCGTGTTTCTGGATCCTCATTTAGTGTCTTCGTTACACTGTTTTGGTAAAGGAATCGGTGCATTTGCTGTCTATAAATAAAAATTTAAGCATAGGGTAACGGGTTGAAGCAATTTTTCAGATTCTTGCTTCTGCCAGAGCATATGGGAGAGAAAATAGTTGAAATCAGTAACAGAAGACATCTGCCATGATGAGCTTTTGCACACATCCTCATAATGTAGCCATACTCCAATACAGAGTAGCAAAGGAGGGAGAGAAGCAGCAGAGGTCAAAAACAGTAACACGAGTGTGAATGGACTCTGTGGTCACCATGACCTTTCCAAGGCAGTATTCTCCCTCACAGAATAAACAATTCAGAGACTACAAAAACATGTCCTAGGGAATAAATTAACATGAAAGTTAGAATCTGCAAAGTCACTGTAGACTCTAAACATATAATTGGGCCAGATCTCATATGTAAATAGTTTGATTGTCCTTAGATGGCTCATCCATTTACTAATCAGAATTGTGTGTTTAATTGCTATGTACTTGACCCTGCTGGCTAAAATGGAGAATGTTTCAAAATGATGTGGTTTTTTTTCCTTTTTTTTAATTTGTCTTGGGAATATTGTTCAACACTTTTATTCAGATACTAGTTTTGTTTACTAACGTAAGAAAATGCTTCTTCCCGTTCATGCTGTTGTGGGTAGGGTATGTGGTAGAATGGATACTTGGTTATGTTGAAATTATTAAGACAAAATTTGAAAGCATGAGTAAGCTATTTTAACAAATCACTAATAATGGTATTTCTTGCTGTTGTTAAATGAGCTGTTGATGATATTTTGATTAAGAAACTGAATTGCAGAATCTGAACTGCCTATTACTAGAGACTAGATGGGCATACCTGTAACATTGAAGATTTTTATTCTAGTCTCCATTTTTTATGTCTTTGCTAGCTTGGAACTTAGCTGTACGGTTCAGGGGCTGCCCTGAAAAGATGAGGGATTTTTTCCTACTGTCTTTCAAGGTGTGTACTCTTGCTAATAGTATCTCTGATTGAGGAATATTGTCATCTGTCTAGTTCTGTTAGAAGTTACCTCCATGTATCAGGTATCTCCTTGGAGACATGCTTGTATGCTCTGAAGATGGAGCACTTTTGTCAGAAGGAGATTGACTTGTAATACAAAATGTAAGCTTTATTGTCATACTTTACATTCTGTTGCTTAAAAATATCAAAAGAAACTTAGGCTTCAATGAGAACTTTCTAAAATAAATGGATTCTGATGTTTGGAAACTCTGTCATTAATACAAACATGTTAAGTACTCGAGTCCTAATCTCCATACAGAACTCCTACCAACACTGTCAGTTTTATATGTGTTTGTAGAGAGGGGACTCCAATGCTGCTTTACACTTTATATTTAAATAATCTTCTTGTGTAATTGTACAAGTAAAATTGCAATATGAATATATACTATTCATGGCTGATTACTAAAAATGTCATAGAGGAGACAGCAATCATCTGTTCACAAGCAAATTGCTTTATATGGGCAGAATTCTCATTACCTTTTCCTATTTTTGGTGTCAGTTGTCCCAGTTTTGTCCTTCTGACAAAGCTGTTCTAATTGCTCAGAAGACATGCCTGTTAATGGCAGCTGCAGTTGATCTGGAAATGGGGAGACAAGTAACACCTTCTGAACAGGTAGGGCATTGCTCTGTTACCTGATTCTGTATGTATCAGTGTAGCATTTTTTTCTTTTGATTTTGAAGTCTTAGTTGTTTCACTCAGAACAGGATATTGAGAATATAAGCATGGGAACCTTTCATAGTTAATTAGAATCAATGCACCTAGTGCTTTCCAGACAATTGTAAGCGTTGGGTTTCTGTAAATTAGTTCTGTTGACTTCAGTAGATTTGAACAGATTTATATCAGCAAAGAGTCATGGCAGTACCTTCTCTTAGAGGAATTTCAGTCTACCTTATATAGTATGTAAGGAGTCTGCTGCTAAACATGGGTTGGTCAGGCAAATAATTACTGCATCTTTAGGATTATGCTGTTGCTGAAAGTAGTTACCAGTATGGTTGTGATAAAGCTCACAATTACTTTTGGTTTTTTTATGCATACATCCTTTTTTGGGGGTGTTGTACTTACTGTGGTAAGAAGATTAAGGAAAATGTACAGTGGTTATGAAGGAAGTACGGAAGTTTGCTGTACTGTGATTTAGAAACTTTTGTGGAGAGCAATGCACAGCAATTTGTGTTGTGGGATTTAGTGGCTTGTCAGTCTCAATAGCACTATTTTATGCTTGGGAGCTAAAATAAATGATGTCCCATAGGAACCCATATGGTTCTTTCTGGACCAATGGAACATTCAGTGTGAAGCGGCTTTGTCTGAGATGTGGAGGTCTTTGAAAAAGAGAGAGAGAAAAAAAAAATCCAAAACCAGTAACTGGTGTAGATGATGTACTGATTAGGCTGATTCTTAGTTTATTTTATAGTTTGGTGTAAAGAACCTGTTAGTTGTGACATGTATATTTCATTAATTTTTAAAACTATGACAAAAATACTTCTTAAATTTTGTAAAACAGATGGAGCTTTTGACTCAGGCCCTTCAACATCTCCAGGCATGCAAGGACATATGGAAAGTTCTGAAATTAACAGGTAAGCTACAAAGTGTGTCTGTTCAGCACATGAACTCTTAGACTTAGTCACTGTATTCATGAAAAATACAGGGTATATGGAATTGCTGTCTCAGCTGAAGAGTGTTGAAGCAGATATATAGCAATATGATAAATGAATTGGCAAAGCCAGCTATTGTTTTTTGTATGTCATTGCAGACTTCTTATTGTATAGGTGCTGTGAAGTGTGGAGCAATCTTTCAGAGTGAAGTTGGGTTGACTGTTCTGTCTTAAATGTTAAGAAACTCCAAGCTCTTTGCTCTAGAGTGGAGTTGCTCTTGCACTGTTTTAATTTACTAGCCTCTTCTCATATAAGGCATTTCAGAATACAGAAGGTCCTGCTACCATACTTTGAAGTGCCAAAACCCATCCTCTGTTCTGTGACTATTCCATATCAATTTAGGTCGGATATTACTGGAGACTGGCGTGCTTTCAGCTGACAGCTGAGATGCTGAGTGACTGTTAGCCTAGAGGATGCATGTTTCACTTTTTTGGTTGTATATTGGTAGAAAAATTCCATTAGGCATTCCTTGTCTGGCCTGTGGTCTGGTTTCTTTTCAGTTATAGGTTTGGGACACTGGAGTTTCCATTGTAAGGTGCATTAGTATTTAACTTTTGTGAAGAAATTTACTTGCTGGGGTTTTTTCCCCTTAAAATTTCAGAATGAAAGGTTCATTATATGGCCTGGATTTGGGATTCTGTTTGTCCTTTTGCACTGAAGGCAAGATAACTCAGGAAAACTTCTTCCCTTTTAATTTTCCATCCTTAAAATCCCAAGGGGTTGATTATCTTAGGAGAGGGACATATTGGAGTTTCTCCTGCAGAGGTTTGTGGAACGGTAGCCTGGTGCTTCCTTCATTTCTTCACTAGAACTTGGCTAATGTGTGGACAAGTCTGTTGCCCTGGCGGAAGCTGAGAATGTCTTTTAGATGTAAAAACAAAGGTCTTTGTGATAGTTCAGTAAAGGACTGTTTGGCATTTGTATCAGGTTTATACCTTCTTAGCAGTTCTACTGTTCTCCCACCCTTCTTCTGTGTTTAAGGATTTCCTGAAGGCTTTTCTACCAGAAAGGGGACAAGTCCTATAGAAAAATTTGAAGCTGATGATAACTTCTTTCATAGGCTGACCTTCTGAGCTGGTGGCCGCCTGTTATCTCTTTTACCCGTCTATGAAAATGGCTTCCCTAGTAGCTATTGTCTTGCCTAGGAGGGTTGCATGAATTTAGCCAATTGCAGACAGTCCAGATTTTTTTTTTTTTTTGGGGGTGGGGGCCGGGGAGGCGAGGCATGGTGCTTGGGTGGTTGGTGGGATTGTGCTTTGGACATCTGAGGTTTCTGTCCAAGACTGCTTCAGAGTTCCACTTGCTCTGCTGTTAAATCTGAGTACCGTAATGGTTTTCCTACCTGTTGGAAGCAAAATTTATACCTTATGGTACACCATGTGGCTTTAAGAAAATGAATCATTACATCCAGGCAGTTCTGTCTCTTCTGTAGGAGATTTTGCTAAAGACCCAACAGACACATTGTTGCTGCTTTATGAATTTGAAGCAAGATCCAAGCTGAATGATCCAACACTCCACAACCTTATGGAGTCAGTATGGGAGCAACCACAAATAGAAGTCAAGACGCTGGAGATCATTGCATGTAAGGACTGCATTTGTACTTCCATAGTTTTTCAAGTCATGAAAACCAGCTTTTGTTGCTCTTTCTTGTTCATTTGGGGTGACCAGGATTGTCATGTATTGTGCAGCATGCAGAAAATGGGTCTAACCATATATACTTTTTCCTGAAGCAAAGATGCTTAGGATCTCAGCAACATTAGGAGATCTGTATTTTGAAATACCGTATTACGTGGATGATGAACCAGAAGTTTGCGACATCCTTCCACTTCTAGACCCTGAGACATTTGTATAGGTTGTGAGTCTGGAAAAGATTATTCAGATAAACTTTTACAAGCTCCAAACTGGCAAAGGCCAGAGAATGATCCTAGCTGATTCATGCCCTAATACACAAGTTTTAGGATGTGGACTTTGGATAGATACGCAGTTTCAACTTAAAGTTAGTGTAATTAATTTGTAAATAGCACTTCTCTATACTGTACCATACTTTCATCACAAAGTTTAGTCATGCCTCCTTGAGAATCTAGAGTAGGATCCAAGGAAGATGAGTAAAATTTAGAACTACTGTGGCAAATCTGTGGAGGGGATTCTGTAGGATTGCATAAACACCTACTTATCTCCCTTGTCTTGAGGGAGTACACACACCTGGGCTTGGAAACAGCATACTGACATCCTGCTCCTGCCTAATTTTTCCATCCAAATTTTCATGTTCAAAGAGACAAACAAAAAAATACTCTTTACTTTAGACACCCTCCCCCCCAATATTTTTGGGTTACTGCATCAGAAGGAAACAGTAGTGAGAATACTTCTGAATTATGAAATCTGCTGTGCTTCTGCCTTGTAGTTATCATTGATGATGTGCACAGTAAAGAAGTAGTAGAGAAGCACTAGCTTGTGACCAGCCCACTCATTAAGCAAATCTCTTTTCAGTTGTTTATCACAAGTGATCTGGCAACATGCTGTAGTTTATTTTAGTGGCCAATGAGATTAAAGTCTGGGTCCAGCTATTTCTTTCTTCTTCTCTATTTTCTTTTGCTTTTAAGCATTAGCAATGGAATCGCCAGCTCGGTATCCTGTACTGTGTAAGAAAGCTCTCAAGAGTGCACTAAACCTTCACAGAAAGCAGACTGTCATTGATGCTGTGAAATTTAGGTTAGTGTTACTGCATAACTTTGCCATGAGCCTGTGACTGGAAATGCTGACAGGGAATAAAGCCTGCAATTTGAAAAAAGTGGATTTTAGCTTATGTGTAAGGTTCCACTTCTTGTTGGCCAACCAATGTACCTCTTAAGTATGACTGTGTAATAGATGTGTTAACTGCAATTTGTTTACTTGGCATATTTTCTGAAACAGTCATATTTCCAATAAATGAATCTATTGAGGAAGGAAAATGGAAATGAAAATTGCATCCAGAAGAGGTCTCTGGCTGTTTCTTGTGAGGAAGGTGTTCATTTCAGATGTTACCCTGCAGTAGTGAACTAGGTATTTCAAAGACAATGAAGCAAAGAGAAATTAAGGGCTGTAAGTTAGTGATACGATGACATAGTACATATGTGATTTATTTTGCTGGGTAGGTGGCTCTGTAACAGCTGTACCTTATGAAATCTGAAAAACAACCTGGTATTTGTCCTTCTGTCTCACTTGTATCCCATAAAGAATATTTTTCCTCATTCCGAGTTCCTTACAGTAAGCACTGGGCAAAGGCAACTGTTAATATAGACTTTTCCATTTCACACTAAGACAGACCTGTTTTCAGATACCAGGTATTTGTTACTGATTTTCTGAGGATGCTGACTACTTAGCTCTTGTTGGTGAAGTTAGAAAAGGTACTTTTTCCCAGCTGTCATGTGTAGCACCCTAGAAATTATTATATCTTTCCTTCTGTGTTACTTTAGAGCCCAGCAATGAAAATAATTAAGTACTTGCTGTTCTCATCTCTCTTTTTGCATAGTTTGTATGAATGAGATCTGATACTAGAAAAATGTATGTTTCTGCTATAAGAATGTGAGAGTAGTAAGCACCAAGGTAGACGTGTCTGTCTGACAATCATAGAGACGTAAGTTAGTGTGCTGCTGATAATAAAAAGTAGCTGTTTGTGCACATGGTATTTAATGTTTCCTCTTTTGCTCTGTTTCAATTCTCAGCAAATGCTTACATAGTTTGATTAATCTTTCTTTGCCGACTGGATTAACAGACTTGGATGCCTGTGTACTGCAGGAGGTGTGGGACTACTTTGAAGATGCTCTGAGCATAGTCAGCAGCACAGTAAGTTGAACAGGAAAACAAGAGACTGGGAGATGATCCTGAGCACATTAAAAAAAATTCTCATCAGACTGAGAATAATTAGTAGATGGAACATTATATAGTGTTATATGTGGAGCAGCTAAGACTTCTTCAGTAAAAGATACACTGAAATCACCTCAAAAGAAAAGCCTCTTGGATATTTATGACTGAGTTATGAATTTCCCTGGATTTTGTAAGGGCTTTTTTAGAGACATTTAAGGCCAAATTTTCAGTGCCTATTTTAGAAACATCTTGAGGTAGAACATGCATCTTTCCTCCTCTTGCTTTCTACATTCTTACACTGAATATGTTTTTTTAAATGCAGATTACTTTTCCAGATCAGTTTAAAGCCACCTAAAATTTGGATACCAGTCTTGTTTTTTTTCTCAGCTCTGTTTTGTTAAATGTATTTGGGAGCTTACTACGTTGCTATTTTTTCCAAATGACCTAGAACTAGATTCCTGTGCTGTCAGTACTTGTGGCACCACATGCCTTGTTTCTGTGAGGACAGGTGTATGGAGAGTAAAATCTTTCTTTCAGTAAGCATTTCTGCTGCTCGTTTCAGGCCTGAAGCGTAACGCTGTACAGTGAAGGCAGGTGTACTGAGGAAGTCAGACATTTCTACTTAGAATTTCATAGATAAAAATCAGTTAAGGAGTATTTCTGTTCAGGACTAATGAAACCAATACTGTGTTTCATAACTTCATTCCATTGCATGGCTGTTTCTTTAGTCAGGTTTGAATGTCTCTTCTTTTATAAAAGTGGCATAAAGATATGCTGTTCCTGACTTGCCCAAAACAGAATATGTCCACATTTGTGTCCTGCCTTTCACCAAAGTTCTCACCTATAACTTTGATAATGTTCTTGTTGAAGGATATGAATGGACTGTTTATGTGGACTGATACTTAGAACAGCGAAATTTCACAGTACTAGAAGGTCTTCTTTTGCAGTCTTGCTCATGGCAGCAGGTACTAATGGTACCATGCTAAGAGAATGACACTGCGGCAGCACATCAGTACATCACCAGTTAGAAAGCTGGTACACCACTCATGATTTATACCTCCTATTCAGAAATGGATGCTGCAGTTCAGAAATTCACTCTGGGCCCTCTTACTTAGGATGAGAAGTATCTATCAAAGAGGGAAAAGTCCTTCCAGCCTCCCCTTAAGGATTTGCATGGCAAATAAATAATTGCTTGTCCTTCCCTTCCCCAACTGAATCAATTCCCCAGCAGGTTCAAAGTACTGTTGGGTACTCTGGCTTTTGTTCTGCAGTTAGAAGGGCAGCTTTCATTCTGGCAAGCCATTGCCACAGTGCATAGAGAAATTCTGAAGATGTAAGAACTGCTGCTTCTGATCTGTAGTGAACAACTATGTCCTGCTATTCAGTACTGTTTGGATAAACTGGAAAGTACTGCAGCAGCAAGTCCAGCCTGTCTGCAGATAAGCTGTTGGAAAGCATACTTCCATTCTAGCATCATTCCCAGTCCTACTGAATTGCATTTTCTGACCTACCAATAGGTAGTTGCAACATGACTTACCCATGTCATGCTGATGTAGTTGCCAAGCCACTCTCCATAATATTTGAAAAGTCATGGCAGTCAGGTGAAGTCCCTGGTGACTGGAAGAAGGGGAATGTTGTGCCCATTTTTAAAAAGGGAAGAAAGGAGGACCCTGGGAACTGCCGACTGGTCAGCCTCACCTCGGTGCCTGGGAAGATCATGGAGCAGATCCTCCTAGAAGCTATGCTCAAGCACATGGAAGACAGAGGGGTGATTAGAGACAGCCAGCACAGATTCACCAAGGGCAAGTCCTGCCTGACCAACCTAGTGGCTTTCTGTGAGGAGTGACTGCATCAGTGGACAAGGGAAAAGCAATGGATGTCATCTATTTGGACTTCTGTAAAGCCTTCGACACAGTCCCCCACAACATCCTTCCCTCTAAATTGGGGAGATATGGATGGACTGGTTGGTGGGTAAGGAATTGGCTGGGTGGTTGCATCCAGAGGGTCGTGGTCAATGGCTCAATGTCCACATGGAGACCAGTGACATGTGGAGTCCCTCAGGGGTCCGTACTGGGACCTGTGCTGTTTAACATCTTCATCAATGACGTAGACAGTGGGATGGAGTGCACCCTCAGCAAGTTTGCATACGACAAACTGAGTGGTGTGGTTGACACGCCAGAAGGACGAGATGTCATCCAAAGGGACCTGGGCAAGCTGGAGAGGTGGGCCTGTGTGAACCTCATGAGGTTCAACAAGGCCAAGTGCAAGGTCCTGCACCTGG